AAAAAGAAAAATCAGCTTGATTGTTCCATCTTAGTAACATCAAAATAATTCCAGATGGATCAAATACATTTAAAATAAACCAACCAACCAACTAAATTAAAAAAAAAAAAAAAAAAAAGAACCTATAAAAAGCCAGAAGAGGGCTGGCTGGCTGGTTAACTCAGTTGGTTAGAACATGGTGTTTCAACACTAAGGTCAAGGGTTTGGATCCCCTCACTGGCCAGCCGCCAAAAAAAAAAAAAAAAAAAGGCCAGAAGAAAATGCAGGGGACTTAAAAAAATAATTTTACAGTTGGCATTTTAAACAAATCTGGAAACCAGAAACCATAAAGAAAAAGATGGGCATATTTGACCAAAGCCACTTTTATGGTCAAACCTGCCCATATAAAGACTTAAAACTTTTATATAGCTGAACGCCCAATAAGCAAAATCAAAACAAAAATTGCAATACAGATGAAAAAGGGCTGACAGCCCTAACAATTAAAGAACTTTAACAAGCCAAAAGAAAAAGACAACTACTCAGATCAAGAAGAATGACCTAGAAACAAAGACCAATCCAGTAGCAAGGAGAACCTACATCATCCAGCCCGTGGTTTCTAAATGCCATTTCTTACCAAAAGAAATGAGGAGCTCTTTGGAGAAACAGTTGATTCCGACTCAGGGGCAGAAAATACACAAAATGAACATGATTATCTTATTACACTATAAAGTAAAGAAGCTATCAAAGATTATTGGGGTTATATCAAATGTTAGAAACCAATCTGAAGAGATTCCACTGGCCAAAGAATAATTTGAGTATCAATAAAAACAACAACTATAATGTACTAAAACACATGAAATATACTTAACCATGACTTAGATACTTAAACTTAGATAGAACATTAGGAATACGAAAGGGGACTATAGATGAACACTATTTTTTTTTTTTTTTGTCCTTTTTGAGACCGGCCGCACAGCGCTCAGCCAGTGAGCGCACCGGCCATCCCTACATAGGATCCGAACCCGCGGGGGAGTGCCACTGCACTCCCAGCGCCGCACTCTCCCGAGTGCCCCACGGGCTCGGCCCAATGAACACTATTTTTTTTAATTAAAAGAGAATAATATGTAACTTTAAACCTATACATTTGAAAAAAATCACTGATTTTCTAGGAAGATATAAATGATCATAATTAGGTGAAAATACCAAGATGTATGGGAGCTAAGAGGAAAAAAAAATTAGTTGAAGAAGCAGAAAACCACTAGCTAGTAAACAGAGTAGAAACTGAAAAGACAGATAACTATGTACATCTTATAAAGATACCTGGCCCATTAAAAAAAATTACGGTATATCCATGAGGCTTAAAAAAAAAATGTGGAGTAAGCTCTTTATGTATTGATATGGAAAGATCTCTACGATACATAGTTAAGTTTAAAAAAATGCAAATATAGAAGAATGTAGATAACGTGGTACAATTTATAAATAAAAGTAAAAAAAAGAAGGCATATTTTCATTGGCTTGTATATGTATAAAAATTATCGAAAAGGATAACAACATCTATTTGGGGGATAAAAGCTGAATAGATAGGGCATAGGAGTGGAAAGAAGATGCAGCAGTTTCGTGGGTCAGTTCCAAAAAGCTTACATAAAGTATTTCAGAGCATAGAAAATAAAAAGCTTTCTGATTCATTTTATAAGACTTATAGAACCCCAATAGAAAGGCAGGTAAGAATTGAACACAAAAAAGTCTATAGGCAACCTCACATATAAATATTAATACAAAAATCCCCAAATATTAGCAAATTGACTGTAGCAACGTTTTAAAAGAATATTTTATGACTAAGGATTTATTCCAGGAATGCAGAGATAATTCAACATCCAAAAAGTTATTTTACCATATTAAAGTAGAAAAAGCCATATAGCTATTTTACTGGGGGGGGGGGGGGGGGGGGGGGG